GTTAACACTCGAAAGGGTTGCCAAAACCTGAGTGAGTGTGCCACAAATTCAATGGGGAAGCCAAGGCTGCTGATCGAGATTCATTTACTAATGGATGAATCATTTGGGGAAACTTCTGTTGTGCTGTTGTACTGCGCTGGTTCACATCAGGACACCGTATTAACTTGCCATAATACCACTATGATAACAAGATTAGACTTTCTCCAGCACTCAAGATAATACTATAGATTTTTAGTTTTGAATAGGTATACATACATATATGAAAAAAATACATTTACAAAACATAGGCTTTGAAACAATTAATGTTTGGATTTGTATAACTGTCAACAAGATCTTGTAAGGAGACATTGATAATATATAATAAATTATTTATTTACTATTAGACATATGGCAGTTATTAAATGTCACAATGACATGTAAATATAGTAACACATATTGGCAAATGATAACAGGTTAATATATATAATCAACCCTGAATGAAATAATACTTACATGAATACACTAACCCAAGGTTCACACATCCAGGAACTTTCTAGAGTTCTAGAAGTATTATGTTAAACTGTTTAAAACAACTGATTTCATTTGTTTGAAAAATATTTAGAAAACCATATTTTTCTAGTGTATTTCTACTGGGATATGTGACTGCTTGTGCATAAGAATTGATAAATCTATTTATTATATGTGAACTAAAACTATATTTTTATTCATATACAAACAAATGTAGGTGATTGTTCATCATTCGTTTTACCATATCATTTTTGATAAAAATGCTATTATCGACTTATTTGAAAACTACCAGTTCAACTGCTTTGATACGTGGATGGGTCTCTGTCAGAATTGTTCATTTTGTGATTCTTGTAAAAAAAATGCTATTTTTGACTTCTTGATAACTTCCAGCTCATTTGCTTTGATACTTGGTATGTAGGGTAGATGGGTTTATTTACATATACTGTAGAATACTTTATTTTCGCTTGGAATTTATTTTCGCTATTTTCGCTGAAGGGATGATTCCATGAAAATAAAATCCAGCGAATATACTTTTTTTCCTATATTTCACATTAAACTCATCAAAAATCAGTGAAAATAAATTCCATACAAAATGCCCGAAAAGCCTTTTCAGCGAAAATTAATTCCAGCGAAAATAAAGTATTCCACAGTATGTAACAAAATAGATAATAACAATTATAATTGCCATGGTTGTGATATGGTATGAATATTGTGAGAACACTAGTATCCATGGCAAATAGTTAATATATGTCACCATACAGAATATAATCAACTGTGTTTTAAGACACTCTATATGTATAAAGACAAGAACACAAATATAAAACTTTGAATATAATCAGTTTTGAATATAATTGATGAAACTCTAATTTTAAAAATAGTTCAATCTGACAAAATGGATGACATTGCTGTATTTTTATAGGACATTTTCTTGAAAAAAATTTTGCTGAGTACAAAATCATGACATTCTGTATAATTTGATTTGATTTGAGTAGTCTTGTTATTTAACAATAGCAAAAATTCCAAAATGACTTATTGCAACTAAGATGTTTGACCGACAGTTCCTTAGCTGATACTTGATCCTTGCAACAAAATATTAATTTCATTTACTTATACTGAGATATTTATGCATACTTTGCCATCCCATCCAAATGGCAATATGTTGTAACACGGACTATTAAAATAATTAAGAGATAGCGAAAAGAAACTGTTGTGTTAACATTTTTCTTAAAACAAATAACTTGAAAACTTTTGAAAACAATAACAGGTCTCCTTAACCCATTGAATGTCATAATTGTTTCTGCCTCTGTATTGGTAAAATATTTTGTTTTTTCTATAATTCATGAATATTGGACCAAGGTGACATTTCACATTGCCTACATATCTTGATCAAAATTGTTGAAAAAATATGAAAAAAGTTTGTGTTTATTTTAGGAAAGAAGACTTTGGCATTAAATTGTTTAAATTGACTTTGTTTAGAATTAAATGCCTCCTCTATGAAAATATACACTGAATTCTGTAATGATTTATGAGAAATTATAAAATCTCAGTTTCTATGGAAAAAAGGGGGCACTTTTTTATATGGGATGAGGGGGGTCTTAATTATTTGTTATGTGTTTCCACTTAAACAAGCATGAGGCAAATATTTAATTTGCATTTCCATAGAAACAAGCACAAAAGACCATTATTATTTTCCATTGAAACAAGCATGAGATTAAAGTTAGTAGTCATGTTTCCATGGAAAAAGCGTGATTAGAAATTTAATATTTATGTTTCCATGGAGACAAGCAAACGAGAGGGGTTGATGTTTATGTTTCCATGTCTACATGACTTCATCTTCTCCAGTAATTCAGCTGTTTCACTTCTTAGTGTCACTAATTGGTTTAGAGTGTTGTTTTGTTGACCATCTCTTGGATGAGGTCAGAGATGGATATCTCAAATAATTTACTACACCCTATTGCCAATCATCATTGAATATCACCACCTTATGTACAATATAAATGAGCCATACACTCTGAATTTTCTCGATAAGCATCTAAAGTAAAACAAATGACCTTAGAAGGTCATATGGTATAATTGTGATATAATTACTGCAGATATGGCCAAGCTGTCATGAATTCTAAATAATCTACTAATATAACATTTATAATAATTATTTTCTATGACAACTACAGAATGACATAAGTGTTGCTAAGCAGCATGTCATGTTTCCATGACAATGAGGGATATGATTTGGGAATCATTGCAGGACAGTTATCCCCACAATGACCAGATGCCCTTGTGCAGCTTTTATCTGAGGTCTATTTAATAACAGTTTTCTATTTTTAATCATAAGGTGATTGATAGGTTAAGCTAAGTTACTGCCCCAGTAACTTTCTGCCTCTATTTCTCCATCCCATCTGCTGTAATGAGTGGACAGGTGGTGTGTATGACCTTGTCTGTCTTCTTCAATTAGAAAATATGTAAAATTCCACTCTGTCTTGTTTTTACTGTAAGTACAAGTAATTGCTTTGATTCAAACAGGGAAATAGGACATCCTGTAAACTGCTTGGTGGGAAATACGGTAAATGTTACAAACATATTTTTCGGAAGTGTATGCACTTTTCGTTTCATTTATCTGTCTCCGCTAGAAGATTGCACAATATGATAATTTGTATGTGTTTACAATAATTCCATAACAGTCAATGTGACTCCCTGTGAACATAACTCACAGATGTTTTCCATGTTGTGTGAGAT